TCTGCCTGTGCTAAGAAATGGGGCTTTGATAATTTGTGAAATAATAATAATAATTTTAAAAATCCCTGATTATTCCATATAAGCAAACACTTGGGCTTTTGTCCCTTAATTCGTTCACAAAACTTCTTGCAGATGTCAGAGATGCTCTGCCCCAGTGAGGGTTAAGTGAAGAAGTGTGGCAGAGGCAGCATTGTCAGTGCTGCCTCCTGCAAACAGACCACTTAGAGAGGCAGAGCACAGAGGCAGAAAAGGGAATTTGACTCACCTGGAAGGAGGCACTGGGGCACTCGGTCCTTCTTCCTAGAGCGTGAATATCTAAATTGCTTAGCAGGACTCATTTAGTGGGCTAATTCACACTTTCAAATAAGCTTTCTAGGCCAGAAGATTCTGACTCTGCTCTTCCCTCTCTTCTTTTGATCCACTGCTTTTTATCACTTCTGGCTTCACTCTACCTTGGATTCAACCAGAAAGACTACAGTCAAAACAATTTCTTGGGAAGGAACCAGCAGTTAGATCCACCTCTTTGTGAATCTTAGTGTGTTCTTATCATTCAACTGGCACCACCACCCATGAAGTTAATTGAGGTGCTGGCTATGACTAACTTTTCAGGATTCTCCAAAGTCTCAAGCAAGCTTTGGCACTTGTACGTCTTATCCTGCAGTGCTTTTAGAAGGAGATAATTATCTATCTCCATTTTGTTCGGGTACTTCTGAGCATATATGCCAGCCAGAAAAAAAATGTAGCTGTATTAAAAGAAACATAGTGAGTTCAGGTGCCAGGATATTTGAAATAGTGCTGGAAATTGGGTAGGTGAAGATCTTTGGGACCCAGAAGGGCACAGCCCTGGGCCACACTTTGGGTAGACATTAATAGCATGTAGCTTGAAAACTGCTATCTTTTGGGGAAAAAAGTGGTCCCAAACACAACTAAACAACCAAACCAATCCAGTCTAATCAGTGTTTAGGAGACATCAACACCAAGGCTGTAGGTTCAATCCCATATGAGCCTTTTCCTAAAGAGTTAGACTTGATGATCCTTGTGGCTCCAAGTCAGAATACTCTGTGCATATTCAGAATGTTCCATCTGGGGTAATTTGGGGTGAATCTGCAGTTTCAGCAACCACTGCTGCCTCAGTATTATGTGAGGGATTTCTTTCCAGGCTAATAGAAGACATGAAGAATTTGCAAAACAATAAGCTTAAAAAAATATTAAAATGCAGTTTATCTGTATACTGAAAATCTGATAATTCCCTAGAAGTTCCATCAGAAACAAAAAGCTGTAATTACAAATGCAAAGTAAAAACTATTCTAGTAATTTACAGGGGCCTCCTAGACATGAATTCATCTTACTACTAAGGTATTTAAATAAGAAACCTGAGAAAATGCCAGACAGCTGTATTTTTTGGAATAATTTTAATAAGCTGACATGGTAATGAGTTTACTGGTTGCATCCTGTTGCCCATACTGAAGTCTGTGCAATTCAGTCACTTCGCTGCAATTTTTTCTTGCAGAACCATCTAAAAAGCTGCCTGTTGTTTTACCTTTTCACTGCTTGTTTGCATCTATCTAGAACCAAATAGCTCTAAGTGCAGAAATGATGCATGAGGTATTAACATGTGTGTGTGGCTGCAGGTTTGTGTTACAGATATAATAAGCAAGAGGTGTATGTGTGTGTGTGTGTGTAGGCTGCACATACATCTTGGAAACCTCAGGGTCAGGCTGACATAAGTGCCTTCTGATGGCTTGCTAGCTAAGATCCAGCACGAGGCTCTCTGGGGATGAATTTCTTAAAAAAATAAAAGTGGGTTCGGCCACATTTATTTGATATTACATTCATAGGTGTAAAATAGCAGTTTATAGTTTCACTTGTCCATTTCCCTTGCTCTGGACCTGCTTCCCTGATCAAGAAATTCAATAGCTATTAAAAGCTGCAGCTGTACTAACAGTGCTATGCTTTATAGGAGGCATTTTGCAGCTATTACTGCAGAACAGGCGTTCTGTGCCAGTACAGATGTTACGTCCACCTTTTTCATAAGCACTTTATCTGCACCATGGGCATTGCATTTCTGATGTTTGCCTGAAATTGCTAAACATGCTCTGTGGCTGTAATTTATTTGGGCTGGTGTAGTTTAAAGGCCTGAAAGCTGTGTCTGCACCTGCTCTATTCATCCCACCAGGAAAGCACGAATTCCACTGCAGGAGGGTTGGTGCAGTTTGGATTTCTTCTGTATAAATCTCCTGAACCAAAGGCAGCCATTTGCTTCACGTATGCTCCCCTTCCCTGAAGTGGAAAGAGCTTGCATATGTATCACAGAATCCCAATATTCTTGTACTGAAAGGAGAACACACCTCTTGTTCTAATGAAGGACAGGTATACAGCTCCCACATTGCCTCCCTCAGCCTAGCTCTGAGCAAGCAAATGTGCGCAGTGAAAGGTGAAACACGTGACTCCAGTGTGTGCAACTGGAGCAAACTGTGCCAGGATAATGACACCAGTTTCATTGTGGGACAGTGGGACAGATACTTCTGAGTGAAATGTATTTAAAGTGATATAAAATGGGTGAAAAGGGAAAGCCACTGCTGAGCCCGATTCGCCTCCTGACAATGCTGATATCAGTGAATTTGTGCTAATGGAAGGTAAGCAAGAGTTGAAGATGACTGAAACATTGTCAATATCTGAATTTTGAATATTGAATGCTGAACCAGTGTAAGAGCCATTCATTCAACTGTTTTAGCCCAAAGTTTTGGAATTCATGCAAAATCCAGGAGTAGTTCTAGCTCTGAAGGACAAAAAAATAAACAAAAAAAGAACTTAAAAAAACCCCAGAAACCACCCCAAAACAAGCAAACAAGGAAGCCACTGTTGAGTGAGGTTTCCTAAACCAAAGCTGTGTCCCACTTTGCCCAGTTCTGCCAGAGACATATGTCATCTGTAGACATGTCATCAAACATGACTCAAACCAACCCTTCCCCCAAAATAAATAAATCCAACCACAGAGACCGAAATGATTCTTTGGCATCCTAAAGATTCTACCCTACTTACTTGTGGTGCATTTTTAATTTACAGTTAAACCAGGGGCTGATCCATTACTTAGTGTTTTCATTAAAGTAAAACAGAAAAAAAAGCACTTGTGCCATGATCAGTCCCTTGAAACACTTGTAAATATGTACTGAATTTAGTGCAATAGAAGGGAGAAGCAACATATCTATAAGAAAATAAATAAAGAACCAAGGACGTAAGGAACAGAGCTGTATGTGGAAATAAAAAGATTGTTCAAAGTACATGCTTTGGGAATAGTGATTAAATACTTACTGAAATATATTAGTAGTAACTGTATTATTAACATAAAATGCTCCTGAATTGTGCATTTAGGCTTTGAATTCCTTTTGAAATTTCTGATGGCTTTTGGCAAACCACACAAGCCTTGTTCAAGAGGCCAAGGATACCCCCTTTGGTAAATCCAAAAGCAGATTCAGAATTTGGCCCTTCAGGTGTAGGATAGCATCAGAAGCTTTAGCTAGAATTACAGTCCTGCTGTACAGAGCTGAGTGTATATAATTCTCTAAGTAAAATTCATGTCTTATGTGTTGTAAAAGGAATGAAAGGTAGCTGTTAATTCCAAGGCTTATAAATATGTCAGTGGGTTTTCATAGCGTCTTAATAAATTACAAGAATAAACTCAGTGACTTATGATGTCACCAGAACTACATGCTGCACTGTATTTATTGTAATTATGTACAAAACTCACAGAATTTTTTTTTACTATCTACATGAATATATATGTCCCACTAAAAAAATCTAACCAATCCTCAGGGATTTCTTCATTATTTATTTGCCATCTTTTAGCTGTTTTCTTGTTCTGAGCACTTCTTCAAATGAAGAAAATTTTCAAGAAAATATGTTTAAAAGAACATTGCTGCAACTGCTGTATTTATTCATAGAAAAGCTGAAATAAAATACAGTTTCCAAATATCCTCAAATTTGGGTGAAGTTCAAATTTTCCTTGGATCCTAGTTCTCTGGCTGGCCACCAGCCCATATCACTAATGGTATAGCTAGCTGAAAAATGGAAAAACAATTTCATGAAAATTTCAAGGTTATTTTGGCTTCAATCTGACACGTAGAGATAGCATCAATATCGTAGCGTTGGTAATGCTTCATTCTTCAGTTTAAGAAACAAACACAGGACAGGCTAAAGACTTTAGGCTAGTTAAATGTGCAAGACTAATTCAACAGCATTTCACATTACCAAAGCAAACTTAGTGTGTGTGAAGAAGCCCTTGGCTCTTTAGAGCCCTGTCCGAAGTGGTTTTTGCTGTCTCAGATGCAAGTGTAGTTTGCACTGAAGTGTTGTGGTGATTAACTGTTCTCCAGTATCATAAACCACAGGGCTGATCTGTGGAGCTGGCTCTGCTCCCATGTGTGTGCTCAGGTGTTGAGTTCAGTGCAACAGAACCTGCTCCTTAGGATGGGGAGAAAAGGAAAGAATTCCAAATTGCATCCATTTTTTATGGCACTCATTTAAACCACTGGAAATGGTATCTCTGAATTTAACATATGTTGATTTGATGTGCTCCTCTGAAGATACAAAATAAACAACAAAAAAATGACCCCAATGTTTCTCCCTCTGTTGCTGAACTAATTCTCCAAGGTATCTGTGCTTCCAAAGCCTGTCCCCTTGTTCCAGCTGCATGTCCACTCACATACTGCTTGCCATGCAAAAGGTATCTTTTCAACATGGATGTCTTCATTTTCTGTCCAGGAAATGCCATTCCAAACTTCCCATTCCAAAAATAATAGCAGTGTTCAGTCACATTTTATGAAAGCATCTTAGAATTTATATAAATAAAACTAGTGTACATTTCAAAAAATATATAAAAGGCTGGCATTTTTCTTTTACTGCAAAGATCAAAGAGCTGATTAGAATTAAAATTTCATGAACTTTAAATTATGCATTTAGTCATAAAAATATTAAAATAAAAAAAATTAAAGCAGCAGGTGTACCTTATACAGTAAGATAAAGTTTAATATATTTTATTAGCTTAAGGGACACAGAATAACTATCTAATCAGAACTTCAGGCATGCATTTACATAAATATATTAAATTAAGAAAAGCAATTATACACTTAAACATCCTTTTGTCTAAAAAAATCATTAAATCCACAGATTAACAATAAATCCAACTCTATGTATTTATCACTTCCAGATACAACTGTTCCATTTCTCAGATATTACACAAATACATTTGTTAGAATTTATATGCATTATACATATATTATATATTACATAATAGTGTGTATACATACATGGTGTTCAATAATATAATAATAATTTGTAGTTTTTATAGCACTTTTCATTTGAAGAGCTCAAAGCGCTTTTACAAGGATTGATTTCACTAATTTTTGGATGGGAAGTGGAGGCACAAAGATGCAATGATTTCAGGTTATACAGAATTTGTGACAGACAGCAACTAAATTCTCTTGTTGGGAACTTCAGTCCTGCTGTCTCCCTAAAAAGAACTGCACATATAGCATAGAGAGTCTGTATAGGTAGACTTGCAAAGACTTGTAAGGTCTCAAACCAAGAAAATATTAATTATATTAATAATGTTAAGCACATGACTTCAGTGAGGTTCATATGCTTACAATTACTTGTGTGCTCCCAGCTAGATCAGTGCCTGTATATGCTTAGTAGTGTAATTCAGTTTACAGAAGATGCTTAAACCTACTTTGAGTGATATTTTCTAAGCTATTTTCCCACATTTCAAATGTACATACAGCACCTGACAGCTGCTATGAAATAAAACTAGTTGAACAGGGGAATGCCACTACAGTAATGTTCTCAAGTGACAGAAGTTTGTTATTTCCTTTTCTGCTTGGCTCCCATTACAATCTAATTGTTCTCAAAGGGGAATTGAAGTTTTAATTCTGCAGTATAATTTGTGGGGGACAGCTAATAGCATTTCTGGATAATTCACAGGGTAGGGTTACTGCTCCTGGTACTAATGGAGCCCACTACAAGCTGCATCTGGTGACTCAATACCAGGTGGTTTCTGGTCTCAGTGTGTCTTGATATGAATTAAAGTGACTTTGCACACCAGTTTTGACTGCCTAGAACATTTTCTTTTTAGCAGCTCCTCCTAGGAAAATTCAGAAAATGGGCTTGTTTGTTACTGCCTTGTGATGCAAAACACCCTTTGTCCTACTGTAAAATGTATCCTCCATAAAAAACCTGTCTCGAAAGCAGCCACTCTCTCTGCCTTCTTTCCAAGAATACTGTGAGCACAGCCATTGTGTATATTCACATGCTTTAGCTGATGTTGCCTTTCTGAAATTTCCTGAGAATTTAAGCATTTTTTTCCTTAAAATAGTTTTTACTTCATTGCAAAATGAAAATAAATAGGAAAATCTTGTAGACCATAGAAGGACCTTTGCTATATGATACACTGGATCCTCTTGGTAGTAACAGATGGAAAGTTGTTTCTTATCAGTAGAAGTAAATCTCTTCTCCAGTAATGCAGTTTACTGTCTGTGCAAGAATGTCTGACAATTTTGTTTCTGGAAGCCTGGCTGTGTGCAGTACACAATAGGTAAGGATACAAACTATTTGCATATAAACCAGAATATTAAATGTTGGTGAATGTCTGTAGCATAGAATGATCACTTTGATGATACTTTCCCAGTTCTGAGAGCTCAGGGAAGCAGGAGACTCACTCAGCTTTAACGTCAGCTGGACATTTTAAAAGCATCGAGAAGTCAGGCGGTTTTTGTGGAAATGCTGGCAACACCTCTAAGGAAACCCAGGAGGATTGGAAAGCTCAGTGGGGCTGGGGCTGCACTCTTGTTCCACCACACACTGGTGTAGTGCTGCAGATGCAGACATGGAGAGGTCATGTGTGCACTGGTGTCTGAAGTTAAGATCTTCTGCCAGCTAAGTGGATATCTTTTAAGGGCTTAATCCTATAACTAATGAAGTCAATAGGAGATTATCAGTTGACATCAATGGGCTTGGAGTCACGCCCTCAAAGATTAAAGTAATCCTGTACTAAGCTTTCAGGTGGCTTCTGCTGTTTCACACCTACATCCCAAAAAGTACGTGCCTTATTTCACTGAATTACTCTCTTGTTGAAAAAATAAAACTTTTCAGCAAAACAGACTTAATTTTTTCAATGTTTCTGAAACATTTTTTACTGAAACTACTTAGGGGAATATTTATCAGGTTTTTGTAGCCAGAACCCAGATTATTTGGTACAAAATTTCTGGAAATTGGAATTAAATTTGAAGGGTTGGTTGCATTTTTTATGAGTATTTTACTTTTTTTTAATATTGAAAAATTAAAATAATTAGTTTTAATTTACCACTTGGCTTCCTTTTGGTTTTTTCCAAGACAAAGGACACCTTTTAAATTGGACAGAAGATCAAAATGGCAAAATTCCTAATTAAAGTGATACACAGATAATCTAAAGGATAGTAAATTAAAATGCATGAGAATTTACATGATTAAGGAGAAATTAGCAGAACAGACTGTCGTTGGACTTGTTTTTTCCACGTAGAACTAATCTTATAAATGCCTATTTCATGGATGCAATCTAATCTTATAAATGCCTATTTCATGGATGCAATTAGAATTAGATGTATGAAAACTCATTTTCACCGTAGTGCAACTTTACACCTGTGGAATTACTTCTTCATATTTCCAGCATCTCCATTTTGCATAATTTTACAGGAAAAGGTCCTTGTTTCTCAAGCCAAATTAGAGAAAATGTGTACTGAAAAGCTAAATTCCATCATGCCAGGGATATCATTCTGTTTTTCAGTTAAGTAGATTGCAATGGGTAAATTTGTGATAAGCACAGTGACTGAAGTGATTTCTGCCTTCCTCCAGCTCCAGTCTGTTTGTGCCTGAGCTGTGTGAGGCTGGAACTCCTGGACTGTGAGTGCCCAGCTAAGACACAGTGCTGAAAGTCACTATAAAATAACAACATTCTGTGGAATGTCCAAAAGATAAAAGGGAAGATGTTGATGCACACATCTGTCAGGCACTTTCAAAATTAATTAGCACCTGCAGCAACCAGGGATTGCTGATGTTTGCTGTGGGTCTAGAAAGGAAGAAGCTGCAAAACCAAATGTGGACAAGTGAGTGAAAGGAAGAGAGAAGGAGAAGGAGAGGTGTCTTGTCTGTGATACAGAATTTATATTCTTATTTATACCTAACTTACACTTTGTTTGCATGAAATAGAATAATGTGTGAGGATTTAAAGGAAAAAAGGGTTTGGATCTGAGTCCCTGTCTGTTAACAGAATAAATTTATTCCCAGAGGGGAAGGCTTTGAGTTAGTATTTCTTATGGGGTGCAGTAGAAAAATGAGTTTACTGTTTCTCTGAAATGGAGTGAAATGATTTGGAGCTGCTTTTGTATAACATCTTTTTGTCTTTGTAAAGATGTTTCTCCTTATATTCCAGTAATATGCCTTCTTTCTGATCAGCAGCATGTAAAAAGAGAAAGATGAGCTTTCTGTCCCAAAATAATAAAGCAGGGGTTTAACACTAGCAGGCATCAGGGAGAGTCATGTTTCTTGCAGCAGGTAGGTTTGTTCTCCTTGAGCAGCAGAAAGGCTGAAAGAATGCCTGAGATGTACAATGTGTTGGGAACAGAGAGGCAGTAGCTCCGAATAAAGGAAGAAATGAATGGAATAAAAGATTAGGAGAGAGAGACACAGAGACAGAGACAACTTGAACACATACAGAAAATCCCTTCTGGAGGCCCTTATCTAATTGCCTCATTTATCTAGTTTCATTTATAAGCTCAGTTTTATTCTGGGACACTCTCGGAGGCTGTGTGAGAATGGCTGCAGAATGACCTAACTGGCAACAGGCTTTCTACAGACCCTTTTTTTATTTTTGTATGCCAATTCTCAGGGCAATTACTGCAGTTGCCCTTTTTATATCAGCATCTTGGGTGGCTAGGCCTGGGGTTTGCTCACTCTTTTTAATAGTATAATTTCTTTTGATAAATAAGCAGCTAGGATTTTTTTCTTTCTTTTTATTTTTTATGAGAATACTTCTTTTCCACTGGGACTTCCTATGAACATGTGGGCTTAATGCACATGCCTGCTTTCACACAATATAAAAGATAATCAAAAATAAAAATGAATCAAAACAGTTTCACAAACTATCTCCTCTCTCCCTCAGAACTTCACTTAGATTATTCCTTAATTTTGAAGTTTTTATGGAATGATTCAGAGCAGATTTTTTTTTTTTAATAAAACAACCTGAAGAATTTTGCTTAAATTTTGCTTAAATTTGAAAGTGATTTTCTGGGTGCAGCACAGTCGATGTGAGTTTTTGCTGTTGATTTGAATGAAGCCTGGATTTAATTCTTAGCTCTTACTGGATGTTTATTTTCAGATTTCACTAGCAAACTAAATTTTCATTATTATTAAGATCAAAACTCCAAGATCATTGTTTTCTGTTCTCTGCATGACTGTGGCATGTATATATTATTGTGAACTCCAATTTAGGTGCCATCTGGGGTATTTTTTAAGGCACTAAGCAGTGAGAAAAGAGCTATCATGTCTCCCCAGCTGGTTGCTGAAAACAACATGTCACAGTAGAGTTAAAGTTGGGTTTATTTTTAAATATATTTCATTGAAGAAAGTGTTAAAGATGTTATCTCTGTCGGATATTTCAACGTTGCTAAAATACTTCAGCGACTTTCTTGCCTTGCTGACTATGAAGAGTGTAATAAAACCGTGCTATGTGACAGATTTAGACAGCTGGCTCATTCATGAGAAGTTCACATTTTTGTCACCCACGTTGAATAAGGAAAGATTAGATGCTAAGGTCAATTTACAAAAATGGTTGTCAGGACATTTTTTAATTGTAGAACTTTTTGTGATGGAATTCAGGGAAAAGACTAAAGGCAGAAAGCAGCGGAGACAAAGAGCTGCTATTAACCTACAGATGCTACCACAGGGTTCATTTTAAGATTGGTCACACTGCTTAGCCAATGAAGTGTTCGTGTGACTATAAGGGACCACCCTTTTCTGGGGTGAGAGGGCAATTTGGTCTTCATGCTCATTTAATCCCAAGATGTCTTTCAATGGACTGTCAGTTGAATCTACATTGTGCAAAATTATGCATGCACTTTTTAATGCAGACCATTGTTCTCTGAGCACTTAACCAAGATTTCTCAACCAATTTCCATTTGGCATGAGGTCACTGAAACCCAGGCAAACATATATGGAAGGCAAATTGTCTGTTCCTCAGAGCTGGAATGTGTGAGACACAGAAATGCAAGTATTGGTTATGCTGTAATTTCAGATTTAATACTCACTAAATGAACACTGACAAATTTCTATAAAGGAAAATTTGTTGCATGCTGCTGCCCTGGAGAGATGATTTTACTGCTGGAGTGTAACATGGGGAAAGTCTTTTAGATCTGTTTGGCTAAAGTGTTGTCAATCTATGATGCATGAGCAGCTGCTTCTAAGGACCACAGGATGTGCACACTGGGGCTGCTCTGCTTTCTTTTCTTAGGCAAGATTCTGTAAAAGCTGCAGTAGGCAGTTTGCAGGTAGTGCAAAGGAAATCTGATAGTTGGTAAGCAGTGAACAAAGAAACTGCCAGTAGAGCTGGAGATAAGGGGGCACCAGTTCTGCAGATACATCTAATTAATTAATACCTTAGAAAACCTGGCTACAGCACGTACACCACATTTATTGATGCATTTACAAACACTTGGTTTTCTTGGCTCTCCAAGGAACACTTAGAACCACAGTTGGCAAGAGCTGCTGTAGGTTTTGTATAAGTGACACTGTGCACAGGCAGCCCCTGCTCATGAGAGCTCTTTCCCTGGGACACCCCGTTCAGTGTGGCATGGGCAGAATCTGCCTCTTGCACTGTCCTGCTACAGTGAAAATCACTTTATGGACACTTGAAACACATGCTGCAATTTTATTAGGGTTGGTGGGCGTTTGCTTTTTTTTCTCATCCACTGTAAATGAACACAAGTTGACACAAGGGTACATTTCTAGATTAGATCCACAACACATTGAAGTGTGTGTTTGCTCTCTCTTTCCCAGTCTTTCCAATTACCTTGGTGAAAAATGTAACTTTAGTATTTTACAGGACATGGTAAAGCTGTCTCATCTAGGTGATGTCTATATTATAAAAATAAAATAAAATAATATAAATATGTAACATGAACCCAGTGCCCATCGTTAAATAAAATATATGATAAAAAGCAGACCTTCTAGGATGACTGGTTTTGAAATATGCGAATATAATTTAATTATTAAACACTTGAAACAATCTTGATATTAAGCTGCGATAACCAGATTTTTGCATCTATGCTAGATAAAGAAATAACATTCTGTAATAGAGTTACATTGATGAAAGTGAAGGTTACAGTCTTACAATGAATTGCCTAGATAGGAATGCATTAAGCAGTTCTGAAATATTGTCTCATGATGGAGTTCAGTTTACCTTAGAAACTGTTACAACTGGATTTTATTAAGTCCAGCAGTTTATACAGCGATGTTTGGAAACTGCTTTCTCACTGCTATAATCAGATAGGTACAGGAACGAGATTTCTGGGATGTCAAAGAATCCATTAAGACATCAGCAAAGTCCTTTGACAAAAATATGTTTTACAGTGGAATTGCTTCGTAAACTATTTCTCATGAAGAAATAAATATTAAAAAAGATTCCACTTTCTGCAAAACCGTATTTGTGATAGCGGCTGCGTGTGTATGTGTGCACATATTGGATATCGGGACGCCTGTGGAGACGTGCAGGAATATTTACACACATACAGGGGATTTTTCTGCACATTGGTGGATATTACACTTAAATTAATAAAGGAAATCAAATCACCGGTGTTTGTTGCAGGATAACAGTCTTTCAAAAACGACAGGATTCAAAACAAATGCCCGCTGAAAGTGGAGTTTCCAAATAGTCCCAGAAACTATACAATGTAGCTGGTTAGATCCAGCAAATAGGATGTCATGTCTAGGATCTGATCCAGAATACCTGCCCTTGTCACTCTTCGGATGTTTCTGTCCACTTGTTCACACTGGGGGCCGAGATAGCCTTTTTTACACAAGCATTTATTGGGCCTTACACAGACACCTCCATGTCGACAGGCTGGGTCACATTTTGCTGTGGGTGAAAAAAACAGCGATTTTCTAATTTGTTTAGATCATCACAAACCAGCAAAAGATACACTACACATTCATTTAGAGCTTTTCTAACCTTGTAGTGATAAAGCATATAAATTACAAACAACGTAGAAAGGATGAAATATTACGAGTGTTGAAAGCATATTTTCTAAAGTTTTAGAATATTAGGAGGAGGAAGTAATTTCGTATATCTGTGAGGATGTTACCTGGGAAAGACTGATAAACTCAAGTAACAGATTTTTTATGAAATGTCCAATTCCCATATTCAGGTTTCATTTAGGAATCTCAGGCACACTCCTTTGTATACTCAGAGTTCTGCACTACACACGTGCCTTAGCAAAGCACACTACACCTGAGCAGTGCACCCAATGCACTCCTTTGGCTCTCTAATCACTCAATGCTGGGAACAAAACTGAATTCCTATTGCAGAAAAAAGAGCCAGTTGGTTGAAAATTTTTTTCAACCATTTTTATCAGTTTTGTAAGTTTCAAAGCTTTCCCCTCTCTTTAGCAGATGCCTGGCGATTTATCTATAGAATTCTAGGTTAATCAGCTTGCTTCAGTCTTTCAAATATAGCTCCTATTTTAAATTGTAGCCAGTGTTAGCAAAATTAATAATACATAACTTTAGTTGTGGAAGTATTTTCTTCTGGGGTAATCACAGGACTGTGATATATATAATGTATATATCTTTCTTCTTCTGCAGGTGTTATGCTGCTTAATATTATTGATTGCAATGAACTTTAATATGGATCTATGGATATTTATACTACACTCTAGAAATGCAGATTTTCTTAATTCTATCCAAGAGTTTCTTAACTACATGAAAAGGAAACTCATACCTTGTAAGGTAAATTTTCTTATTTAAACTATAATAGTAGCTTGAGGTTCAACTTAGACCATCCCTATTAATTGTTGTGTAGGATACAGGAAAGGAAGATCCTTAGTCTAAATATTTTCTGTGACTTTCTTGCTCATCATGTCCATCAAATCATCTATCATAAAGCTGTGATTTTTAAAACAAAACAGGTTATTCAAGACCTATTTATGTTCATGTTGGAGACATTTTTTACTTTTTAGTTCCCCTTGGACCAAGGGTGTAGAATGGTCCTCATTCTCTAAATGCAGGACAGCTCTGGAAAGTGAGGACAATTGAAGTTGGGATATTTGGCCAGATGAGCTCATCCATTTCTCTAACCTGCCTTCATTGCTGGTTTGGGAATGGTCAGCTCATGAGTCTTTGCCAGTAAGGTATTTTATTAGTGGTTTAATAATTTCATTTCATTCCAAAGTCACTTCTGCTCATCACTAAAAACCTGGAGGTTGCTGAAATTTACACTCCAGCCTATAAGGACTTCATAGCTGACCCTGCTTCCCCAGGGCCCTCCTAAGTGCCCTTCCAACCTGAATTGTCCATGATCCATTGTGGGATCCTTGTTTTCCCTTAGTCCTTGCTATTTCTTTGAGTTCTACTGCCACAATATGGACATCTCAGTGTTAATCTCTCATCTGGTCAAACTTGCTGTCCAAATATGCCCAGTCAGGGGACTCTGCTGATGCTGAGGAATAAAATCTTTGTAATAACATCTCCTGTTACCCAGGCTGGCTCTGGGACAGCTGCACTGGCCAAAATGGCACAGCTCAGACAGAGCCACAGCCTCCGAGACAGCGATGGCACAGCTGGGACACTCTAGGCTCATCTCCTTGGCTGGCACACCCCTCACCCTAGTTCAGTCACAGTCACTTTTCCAAGTAACTTTTAAAAGCTAAAGCAACAAGATAGGACCTGATGAAATCACTGTAATAATGGATCACAATAGCATTGATTATTTGCTGTTTCGTGATACATTGTACAGAGAATTCTCCTCGACAAACTGCAGCCATTTCATTTGGCCGGATCAAAAGCATGAATGTGCCAAAACTAAAAAATATGCATTAAATTAGTGAAGTGCAAAATGCAATGGAGAGCTGCAGTTCTTCTTTAGCATCTTTCCTGACAAGTCACCTCTCTTTGACACTGACACTGATAATACTGCAAGTGGAAGGTGAATGTCCAGACACAGGACATGTAGTGACCTGCACCTCAAAATCTTGGTGGAAAAAACAAGAATACTGTTGTCATGTTTATGCTATCAATTGCATTCTGCACTGGCTCACAATGCATTGATGTTTTAGCAGTTGCATTCATCTAAAGACTTATTGTTCTCCTGCAGCTCATGAAATCAGTATTTTCTAATGTCTTACAACTGAAGGCCAATATATTGGTCAACATATACTGACAATTTCTCTGAGCAAATAATTAAAAGGCAATTATGACATGTCACTACTTTTTCCACTTGTTGCTGTGGATCTGTATACAAACCAGTTCTGCAGAACTCTCCTTCCCAGCCTTGATTACAGCAGCATTTTCCTGTGGGAGTGCAGTGCCCGTTCCGACAGTGCCTTGAGCATTCAGATGTCAGTATCTGTGCAGGCTGAGCTGTTCTTTTGCATTCTTCAGGGACTAAAGGCCTGGAAAAAAATCCAACCAAACAGAGTTAAAAGTCGGGATCAAGAAGAAAAATTTTGAGTTTTAAAATAAAGGATTGATTCTCTGCTGTAGTATTATCAGTGGGAAAAATAATGAGATTTCTTTTCCTCAGCAAAAGAAGTAAGCCTAGAGGTGATATGTTACAGGAAAATACAGTACAATTTGCTAGTATTTTATGTAACTGCCTTCAGAGATCTTCCACAAGATTAAGCAATATTCCTTGAGAATTCTTGAAGCATGAACCTGCCAAAAGCAGCTTGCTGAAGGTTTATCTTCATAAAGCTGCCAGCTTATTGCAGGCAGTGATGGTGGGTTTTTTTCATTTCTAGCTGATCTAGATTTCCCCTAAGAAAGGGGGAAGAGTAACCTGAACAAGTTTCATGGCATTGTGATGTGTAATAATTTTGCAGAAGTATTTCCTCTGTCTACAAATTCAGCTTTAAACTGCTGGCTTTTTATTTCCACATTTCCATAGAATGACATTTTGATTGTGCATTCTGGATGCTTATTTAAGCATCTGAACATCAGGAAAGACTTTTTCACTCTGAGAGTGACCAAGCACTAGCAGGGGTTGCCCAGAGAGTTGTGGAGTCTGCATCACTGGAGATACTCAGAAATTGTGTGGGAAATTGGCTGTGGGAGGCCCTGTTTGAGCAGGGGGGTTGGACCAGCTGCCCTCCAGAGGTGCCTTCCAAACTCAGCCATTCACCATCAGGTCATTCTGTGGAATGTGTGCACAAAGGAAATTCTAGTTGAGATGGCTTAAATTATTTCTGACACTGGATGTTTTGGTTAGGATGATAGGACCATCCAAAGGCTACAGGTTCCTAGTAGAGGCACCATGTTTTGTCTCTGCTGTAGGTTTGGTTGCACAGGTACAAGTTTGGAAAATAATGTCAGGATCTCCCAAGTGATCTAATCAAGTAATTGAAATAGGAGCATCATGGAAAATTAAGTTAATGAGTGACAAATACAAAATTACTCATTCCCTAGGAAATCATCTTAACTACTGCCATACATACTAAGCCTGAAATGAGCAGGAAAAAGATTCTAATAGTTCAGTGGAGAGCTTAGAGAAACCTTGGCTAAGTGTCCAGCTAGAATCCAAACAAACCAAAATAAATTCTGAGAGAATAGAATAGAATAGAATAGAATAGAATAGAATAGAATAGAATAGAATAGAATAGAATAAGACATTGTTCCTTATACTGGCATCAGTATTAACACCCCAATTATGTGCAAATAGCTGGAATAGCAGCTTGTGCACTGATTACTCTGTCACATATTAAATTCTTAGACTGATACTCCTGTGCAGAGGAAAGGATATCTTTTGGGGTCTGAGAAAGAATGGGTATGATGGAGATGTAGAAAACGGTGACTAAAGAAAAATAGGGAAAAAAATTGGCATTCTTGTTTATCTCCCATTTCAACATCAGAAGAAACATCAAGGGAAAAAAATTAAGCTAAAGAAAATAAAATTAACTAGCTGAACTTGTGACTACTAAGATATCAAAAGATATCTGAAGGCCATGTTCCACTAGGATTTTAAATAGATATTTTCATGTGCAATGGTGCTATTCAGAGTAATACTAGATAGGATAAAAATAATTTTTTAAAAAATAAAATCTCACACCTAAGTCCCTCACCAGCTGACTGGGCTTACATTTCCCCCTCCCATTTTGACATGCATCTTGTTAATGGTTCACTACAGGGTTTCTTGCATTTTTCCTTGAAACAGGGCAATAGAGTACAGGCCTACTGGTTTGTTTCAGCATAGCACTTTCTCTGCTCAGTCTTAATTACCACCATGATTATTTAAACATCCACACACAAGAACTGGTTCCCCAAAGAGGTTAAGGACAGAAAGAATGTGTAGGTGCTTCTTTAGCACAGCACCAAGTCCTGATTTCCAAAGCATTTCTGAGAATCAGACTGAAGGTCCTGTATTATTTAAGGGCTTTGAAACATGTTTTGACACCTTTGGTGCAGCATATTTGAAACCCTTTCAGTTTTACTGTTTACATATTTCCACAGCTGTCTTTTAAATAGAATGCATTATTTTTTTGACCTGTAAGGAATTCCAGTTCTGTAATGAGCAATGATTGTATTACATATGTTCTGGTTAAGAAAGTTCCTACGCTTAAAAAATTATAAGCAATATTCACATGCAATGATATTTTGGAAATGGTTCTAGAAAATAATATGATTTTCAGTGGAGATTTTTTCAGATTTAAGGTAAAAAGATCGGTCTTCTAATTCCTACATCTGGAAGAAAAATCTACATTTGAAGTTATTTCTATATGGCCAACTGCACAGGATGCAACATTCTTTACCTGTCACTACTTAAAGCTCATTTATTTCAAGTTACTTTAAATGGGAGGCTTCTCTTTCTCTTGCTCAAGCACAATTTCAGTACAGAGTTTAGCAGGAAACATAACCTCAGGCTCCTGGAATATCTCTTGGGAAAGAGCTCCCAAGAGTGGCATATCTTTAGCAAAGAATGACCTCTTAAGTCACAAAGGTATTTTATTTGGGAAGATAATGATTTATTTTATTAATAGATATGAAATATTTGTCTGTGATAGTGCTGTAATACATGGCTCTTTTTGAATGCAATTAGGAAGGCAGAAGTCACACTTCTTTGTATCCAGCTGAGCATGGCTGGTCACTTTTATGATTTAAAGTTTTCTACCACTCTCGGTACTTGTGAATATAACCTTGCCTTTTATTCTACCATCAATCAAGAACTTGCACTCATCAGCCTTGGATAATATTTATTAATGGTGGGGTGGAGTAGAAACAAAGATGGAAAAAATTCTGGTTGGCAAGGTGCCTTAGGAGAAGAGGAATACAAATGCAGCTGCAGCGGAATCCTCGCATGTGAGAATGGCTGGTTTCCCTGAGCTGTGCTCTGGGAAAAGCCACACTTCTTTCTCAGGATTCAAGCGCTGCTCTGGGACCAACACGTGTCGAGAGAGAGCCTCTGCCCCACACACTCACACTTTGCATTCTTAGGGCTTGGAAGAGGTGGAAATGTTCAGGCTGAGCTGAATAGAGTCTCACAAAGATAATGCAAGTCCTGAAACCGACTCTTGGGACTTGATCTCTCCTGCACTGAGACAGGACCATGATTTTGTTTATATAACCAGTGCTTCGCTGTGTCTCCTGATGTGGAAAATGGAGAGGAATAGATGGAGCCACACTCCGGGCTAGAGAGAATTTTTGTTCTTGTATCCCTCAATCTATAAAACTCTAAAGGGTACAGCTTGATTACTCTTACAGTAAGCACTATTTGGTCCGCAGAAAGTCAGCCAAAAATGTAGCTGATAATGACTATTTATATGGTCTGTACAATTCTAGTTATCTTAAAGAGCTGTTCATATATACAGTACAGTACAGTATATCTTGCTTGTTAAAACAGGCTTTCATGAAACTGTATAACAACTCTAAATGTATGGAACACGAAGGAAAAGTTGTACTGGGGGCTGGGGCCTCGCTGCATCCCTTCGCTGACGTGTGCAGTGAGCCGGGAATTCTTGACTCTGCAATGTGTAAAATAATTTTTGCTGCCTTACCATAGCTAGTAGAAGAAAGCTGCCTCTACTGTTTAGAGGCATTTAAAAGTCCAACATGCTTTAATAATTAAAACTCATTCTGGCATAGCTCAGGACTTCATGCTTTCTTCAGCACATCTCTGTTCGCAGCTCCACTGAACACAAAGAGCGAGTTAGTTGCTGTATGTGCTGTCTGTAACTCAGATGTGCATAAATCAATGCAAATGGAGGGCCAAACTCTGCAGTAAAATAATGGTACTGAACAGAAAACAATTCCTCCACCAGGCTTTTGACACATTATCAAAAATCCCTACTTCCCTACTAAAGCGAAGGAAAAAAAAAGGCAGACAAAATTCCTGGATGTTCAGATTTCAAACAGGAGAAATCTTGATACAAAATATATGGAATGTTATGCTTCAATTACCTGCACATAAGATTTAGGTATTAGAATGATACTTAAGTATATCACCAACATTTGTGCATCAGTTGTTGAGGTTTTTTCCTTTATAAGGGAAAATGTCAAGAAAAAATAATTTTGTTTCACTCCTTGTCATAACCCAAATTTACTGCTTGTCATAGAATAAATATAGCATCTCTTCAGGTACAGCTTCTAAAATTAAAAAGTATACCTTTAGTCCTGGGAGAGATGCCAAAAGCTCGTTACTTGTCTCCAGATTTACTACATGGGAATAATGTGGAAAAAACTCACAGCTTTTAAGATTTAAACTCAGCAGCATATCAAATTTATTCTTATATGGTATACTTGTTCATGACCTCTAGTCTTAAGAAATTCTGTCATGTTTGAAAACTAGTCCCTAGCGAAGCCTGTATCAATGTTAATAGCTAAGAGGTCAATGCAACTGCTAAACAGTTTGTATTACTGTCAGGGTGGTCATGAAAACAACACCTGCTGCATGAGCACTTGGCAGCTGGGTCAACAGGCACTGTGGGAATTTATCAATTTAGGGGGCCACTTGCATAACACTTTGACTGATGAATTGGGAACGACTGGCTTACTGGGCTAAAGCTGCTCTATTATGTGTGACTTTCTTTAGGATGGCAGAGGCTTCCTGCAGGCTCCAGAAAATAAGCAAAAGATAAACTGATCTGTTTTTTTCCTTATAAAGCGATAAAAAGTGAGAACTCCTTAACAGCCAATGCTAGAAGACTTTAAGAAAAGGGGAAAAAATATAAAATCAAAACAAAAACTTTTACAGTCAGTGAGCTGTGATGTGATTGAAAAAATCCTTAGGTTTTTCCACCGTGGTTACAAAAGAGTTTTTGTGAAGTACTTCTGTAAAGTGAAACTCTCTGGACTGGTATTCGCAAAAGCTCTAATTTCTCTTTAGTGTCTCTTGTGGGAACAGTAACTGCATGTGGGTAGGTAAATGAGATAAGAATTTTGCATGCTCTGGCTAAACTAAACA